TTTGTTAAGTTAACTTGTCTATATTTAACTGGAAATGTGTTTAAAAATTATATTTAAACTCTTTGTCGTTCAATTTATCTTTGTTCAGTAATTATACCCAGCAAGACCTCTTAATTCCATCCCTTGAAATCCAGCTTTAATCCTCTTACTCGGAAGTCTTATAAATTTTAAGCAGCTTAGCCACGTGTGATTCCCCTCGAAAGGCACATTAATTGGGGGCCTTATGTCGTCAAAACTTAATTACAACATGAAATGAATCGTAAAGTCCTGAGCGAGCGCACACACAATCAAAATTCCTGCACACGAATCGTAAAAAACTGGTCTTTGTCACAGGACTTGAGACATTTTCGCTTCTCTTAGCCGTGTTTACACGAAAACAAATTAAAATGCGAAAACTGCGGGCTTTTCTCCTCTTTTCGTTTACTTTTTAGTCCTTTTGTTGTGACCTTTGTGTCGGCTAAGACTTCTTCCCCAGGGTGTTTTTAATCAAAGCCCGAGTGTATGCAACTTTTTTTTCTTTAAACTTTCTGCTGATTTGCAACTTTAATTCCTGAGAAACTCCTTGGCATTCCGAGCAGGTCCTCGGCTTCCTCCGAGATCCCAGCATGTGTTCCTCGGCCTTAACTGCTGCTGCCACTTAAAACTAGTCAAGATGCACATAAATTTGATTCCGGTCCCCGGATACAGGCAGCCGGACATTGTCTAGTGTGAAATATATAGAGCTTGACTGGAACATTAATTGTCTGGCTGACAGCGAAGCAAGCGGCTGAGCACTATAAAAATGATTTAATTTTACGCATGCCTGCGTTGTTGCCGCCGTCTGGAAAAAAAAAGAGAGGAAAATCACAAACGGAGAAAAATCATAAACAACAAATGATGGCCTAGAACAAGTCGCAGCTTGTGTCACACATTGCCTAGGATATTAAAAATGTTATTTCGCCGACATTTTGGGAATTTATTGGCACTGCCGCTGCCGCATCGCATAAAAGTATGCTGCAAAAATGGCCTGCAGATGCGCAGTTTTTCTTTTCCCCAGATTGCCTGCTCTTTTTTATTGCTCAGCAAAGTATGCAAAGTACATTGGACCGGTTTTTCCCCATCTAATTGCAAATGTTTGCCACTCTCATCGTTGTCCTTGCTCTGCTAGCTGGCTTCCCAGTTTGCTGTCCTGCACGAGATAAACCGCTTAGTGTTCTTGATGGAAACGAGCTAATGGCTTGTGAAAATGTTTTGTAGTCCCTCCGTTGTAAAATATCCAGTAAGAAAGCACCCACGAGGCGAGCTAACTCGATTGAGCTGTTCGGATCCCGTATAATAATAATGTAGGTGGATGGTAAAAAGTCATTAGTATAGAGTAGTTTGGTTTATAGAAAAGGAAGGGGTGGTATCTCAGTGTGCACAGTATGTGTTTTCAGAAACCCAATATGTGTGGGGAGAACTTTGTGTTAATTTTTAACGAAGACTATACAGGCACTTATCTGCCGGGAGTTAAGTTGGTTGCAAGTGAATACATTTACTAGGAAAATGTTTACACTTCCAAAGTGCAGGCAAACAAGGGAGCATTTTGGCATTAAATTTTGCAGAAAATAGGTATACATTATGGCAAGGCAATTTGTTAATGGAAAGCATAACCTTTTGAAAGTTCATTTCATTTTATTGATTAGAAATTTCCTAATCAAAAAGTTGCGGGAAAATATAGGTGAAACAATATAATTAATTAGTTAATTGGTCTCAAAATAAACATACTTCAAAGGCCACTCAATTTAGATATATATATTACTCATTTTCCAGCCTTTTTGCCATGTTGTTAGGTAGACTTGAAAGTTAATGAAACAACTATTATTAATTTGTAAAATTTAATATGTTTAGAAAGGTTACTTTATACTTTTTATCATTAAGATATTAGTGTGTGTTTCGCCATTAAATAAAAGTATTTCCCAGAATTGTACCCATCATTTTCCACATTTAACTGGGTCAACTTTTTTTTATTGTAATTTGCATATCAAATGGAAAAGCCGACAAGGGTAATTCAAGCCACTTTCCTTCCAAGCGATTGAGGAACAAGCAAATCATTCAATCAATGTTAAACCATTTCAACATTATTTTCCTTATTTTCCCTATTTCTTTTTCCACTCTTTACTTGGCTTTTCATAACCTCGGCAAATCACTATTGATTCGAGAAAGGGTGCCCCCCCAAGTTGCCAATGCAAATTATTCATGCATTAGCCATACACACACACACACCGCACACCCACTATTCTTGGCATTTTATGCACTGTTCGAAGCCAATCTGCCCCACGTTAGATGCTATTAATATCGATAAAAAAAGCAAGTTTTTATGGTCTACAGGGGGAGGTGGGGGCAGAATGGCATTATATTATATTTCTCCCATGGAAATCGATAAATTTTTATTTAGTTCCGCCCCTCACTTCCGCTGACTTGTCCTGGCTAGCGGGACATGCGTTTGCGCTTAACCCATATGCAGCTGGTGGTGCCGTGACAGCCACTGCCAAGCGGTTTGGTGGTGGCAGGTCCTCCTCCACTCTACGAATCCTGAATCCACCCTCTTATTTCCCGGGTCTCTCGATACCCTTTGCCGGCTTCCGCAGTCAGCTGTGCGGGCATTCATTGGGTCGCCTTCCGTTACTTTGTTGTGACAGTATTTATTTGTATTTCAAGCGGTGCGTGTCCCTTTTACGTGGTGTCCTTTTATCCTTGCGATTGTCGCTAGTAAATACAGAAAGTACATATATTGTGACAAATATTTGGTGCCAAGGTGACATTTTAAAGAAGTTTTACAAAGAAAAGTAACTAGTTTTAAAAGCAGTTTAATATAATTTAAGAAAAAAAAAACTTTAAAATGAAGTTCAAAAGGATATATTTACTTTTCCAAAGCGAAAGCAGACTTTTCTTCGATTAAAGATATTTATACCTTCAAAAAGAACCATACAAATTATGTTTCACCTCAAAATTAAACACCGTTTAAAATCCTTAATACCACAATCAGTCGAATGAAAATTTCCAGAGAATCCTGCAGGTGGAGCCCCATAATTTACCGCTGAATCAGAACTGTTTGCTTCATTATCCTGCACACACGCATGCCCCAAGGACACAGTCCGTGTTGCACTGGCAAAAGGCTATTATGTAAATTCCCCCGGCGCGGCTATCGATAACATTTAATTTCCCAGAAGGAGCAGCTGCTCCAGCTCCACAGTTATCGTGCCATATTCGAATAATTATGGCCACATATGGCGGTGCTCTGGCTGAGAAACGAGCAGTTTGTGCTGCCCCTTCGCCTTTGGCGTAAACTTTTGTGCATTTTGCACTTGATAACAATCGCTTGGTTTTTCCATTGGGTGGGGTTTTTCGGCATGGCGAAAACTTTCACGCGAAAAAGTTCAAGGACATTGAATGGAGCTGGGTGTGGCCTCCACCACAATCGCATCCCCATCTCAAGCCCCCCTCAAATCCCCATCTACGAATCGGAAAAGTTCGGGACACAGGAGGCAGTTTTCGGCGCTTGTTTAACTTGTCTGTTGAAATTGCATTTTCGATTAAGTCCGCCTGTGTAAACTGACATCGAGTGCATTTCATATTGTGGCATGTAGCGAATTTAGGATGTGTAGTCTCCGAAGTCCCCGAAAAATAGGGATCCACGCAGAAGATGAGGAAACTTTTGGCTTGTCTGTCTAAACGATGGTAAAGTTGGTGCGGTCGGGCTTGTTTGCCAAGCATTTAGCACATTAAACCAACTTTTCAAGCTGCTGATGGTGCCGATGATATGGAGCAGATTTAAATTGCTTTTTTGGAAAAGTTTTCCCGCTTAAACAAAAACGATTTTGACAGCAAAAAAAGAATTTTAGACTTGATTTGAGAAGAAGCGAAAGCTGTTGAAGTGTGATTCTTTTAAATATTTATAAGTTTTTTTTAAGGCGCTTGGTCCTTCGAGCCGGATAGGAACCTAAGGATATATCTATAGCTTAATGATAAATGTTTTTTTGTGGTAAATTGTAAAGTGAATTTATTTGTCTACCAAACTATATGATTTAGCTTAATACAATATTTAAATTAAAATTTATGGAAATAAATTCAAGCAAACCTTACCTTAGATTATCTTAATCTGGCAGTTACCAGGTATCCCCGCTCTAGCAACGTAATAAAATTAGCATTTCCCTTAACTAGTTTACCCAACATCCAGGTCTTTGTGCGTTAATCCCATAATGAAAATTTGGAGCCTTTCTATAGCTTTCCCGTTCCATCGTGGCATTATTTTTCTATTACGCACCGCAAAGTTCCACCCTCGTTTTTGTTACTCCTCTGCTCCGGCAGCTCGTGTCCGTGTACGTGCATAATTAGCTGGCTGTGCGATAATGTCTCCCATTCTGCTATAAATTCATTATGGCTGCGACACGTCTACTTCACTCCCACCCATTCACCATAAAGTGTTCAGCGGTGCCATAAAGTCGTTACTCCTTTTTCCTTTTTTTTTTTGTTTTCGGGATTTGATTAAACTGCAATTAGCCCTGAGAGGGGTTGAAAGGAAAGCAGAGTCGCCCCCAGAAGCTTCGATGACATCAGCACAGGGAAAGAATAAGGGTGGCATCTGTGATACTGCTGTAAAGTGCGTTGAACTGGTGCCAAGTGGAAACGCCCCACTGAACTACTTCGCACCACACTGGCCAAGCTGCCAAAAAGTCTGAGCACGTGCAGGATGCGGATGGCAGGATGGAGCTTAGTGGCGCCACAGAAAATTTACACCCGAAAAAATGTTCTTCAAAGTTGGGAATTATCTTTCAAAGTATTCTTATTGAGATTTTAGATTTAAGTACAGGACACTTTCCATTTTTAAAATATTTTAACTAATTATAAATACAAATAAATTCTAACAAATAAAGATTTTATAGATTATAGTGCTTAAAAAATATGTAAATTATTATTTTTTTTAATGATATGAATTAAAACTTAATTAAATTCCTCATTTTTTGCACATTTCCTTGCAGGATCCGGCCTCATCTCGCATTCCCCGTCTGGACGGCATCTCGCGGGTTCCCAAGCCAAGTAACTTTGGCCTACCCAGCAGTGCTTTTACCACCGCCAACAGAGCAACTAACAGCAGCAACACCACCACCACTCAGCACATCCGACCACCGATAAGTGCGCCCAAGGCCACACAGGTTTTTCAGGCACCCGGTGATCCTGCAAAGCCGCGTCCTGCTAGCTCATATGCACCATCCTCGGCCGCTCTGCGGGATTTGGGCAGCAGCTTGAAGAAAAGCGCCAGCGGGGAGAGAATAAATAATGCAGTGAGTTTGCTGAGCAAGAGGACCACCACCGTCCTGAAAAAGTACTTTAGTCCTAAGTCAGCTCGCATGATGTCCGATCCCACGGAGATGACGAGCTCTTTGCCAGTGACCCCCCTGCCGGCGGGGAAGCAACGTGGAATGCTCACGAATGATCAGTTTACGAGCAGTACACCCATGCCACTCCTGAGATCCGATACCTTTGTCTGCGAGGATGAGGAGCAAACGAATGGCCAGAAATTGAAGAGCACTTTCCCTCAAACCGTGGGTTTGGACTCGCCGGGCTTGGATGAAACCAAAGTGTTGGTCAGAGATGGCACGAGAATAATTGAGGAAACTCCCAGGACTAAAAACTCTCCCCTGGCGGACATCACTCAAATCCGAAAGCCCACTCAGATCGGTGGGATAAATCACACGGCAAAGTCGACTTTGAGGAAGATAAGCTCAATGGATACCACCCACGAGATAAGGGCCAGTCTCGAGATAACTCAAAACAATGCCACACACGCCATAAACTCATCGGGGATAATGGGCAGAACAATGCCAGTGATTCAGGCCAAGGATCTAACTAGAACCATGGCTGGAAATAGTTCGCCTGTGGGAAATGTAACAAAAGTTGTTGAGGGAATTGGAAACACTACCAAGACCTTGGAGAGTGTTGGTAACACTACCAAGACCTTGGAGAGTCTAGGAAACATCACCGAAACATTTGGAAATCTCACAAAATCGATTGACCGAGAATTTAATCAAACAAAAACTTTCGAGAGAGCAGTAAACTCTACTAAAATCATTGAAAGTGGAGCAAATCTCACTAAAAATATGGATGATAGAGCTGGAAATCTCACCAAAATAATGAATGCAGGACAAAATCTCACCCAAACAATGGATGCTGGATTGAATCCAAATAAAACCTTTGAAAATAGAGCTAATCTAACGAAAGTTTCGAGTGCTCGTGGGGGAAATCTAACCAAGAGCGTCATTGAACCTGGTGACTACACCAAGGTTATCCACCATGGAGCGAACCTAACCCAGAGCATGGATCAGTTGCCTTTGCTAGAGCACATATCGATGCCATCCGGCCTGGACACCCTGAGCTACAAGGGTGCCACCTGTCGGGAAGAGGCAATGCACCAAGAAATGGACGACACGCTGGACGTGACGTTGACTGCTTTGGCGCCCGATAAGGCCAACATGAAGCTGCCATTGAATTCCACCCTCAATACGGAGAGATTGCTGGATATCAGTGGATTGCAATCGCCGATGCATATACAGCTGCTAAACTTGACACAGGAATTGGAGCGGGATAATCCGAACAGGACTCATCGTCAGTCCGGACGCAGATCGATACCACAGCACCCGCTCCTCTGCCTATCCCCACAATCTGCCACAACAACGCCGCATGGAATGCGGATGATGGGACAGGCAACTCCACAGCCCGTCCATCTGCTTTCACCCCTTTTAAAGCAAGCACAAAGTGCTCTGGTTCTGCCCACTCGAACTCCAGACGGGGACATAGCCATGGATGGTCATAATGTCATTGACAATACTCTGATATCCAATTCGGGTCGGGGCAGAACCCGCTACAGTTTCGGTTTGGATCTGCCGGATACAACGCTGGACTGTTCCATTGAACTGGTGGACAACTCGTTCTCCTCCTCCACCCAACTGCAGCAATTGCAGCAGCAACTCCTGAAGAAGCAGAGCTCCTTTGATCTGGATGAGAGCCTGGGCATCCTTACGCCCGATCAGATGAAGGATTTCCTCGACTCGCCTCACAACAACCTTATGCAAAACTTGGAACTGATCCGAATGCATCACCCAAATCTAATGCAGCTGCGTATGGAGCAGACTCCCTCGCCCGAGGAGCTACCTCTGGATCCCATCGAGATCAAGTCGGAGATTGTCAAGCAGGTGGAGGCGTCCCAGAACCAGGTGACAGCTGCCTCGCAGCAGGCTAAGCTGAGTAATAGCTTCATAACCAGCGTGACCAGTGTAACCAGCTTGGACACTGGCTACCAGGGCGACGGCGAGATGTCGCGACCCGCCTCCCGAGGAGCCTGTGATCACTCGCCCAGCAATGGACCCCACTTGGGTCGCGTCAGTCGGCAGCCCAGCTTTCCACCTCCGAATCCGGCGCCTTTGCGGCGTCAGGACCCAATGACAGACTCGGACTTTTTTACCGAATCCGATGCGGATGACGTGCTGCATCGAGGCGATCGGCGTGCCCAGGTTATTGATGGCCAGCTCTATGGACCCGATATGATGCAGCCGAGTGCCTCGGTGCCCCAGATGGAGGACTCGTGCATGGAGTCCTCGGGCATATTTACGGACGTGGAGAACCGCTGTGACGAGGAGATGCGTCAGCCGGAGTTGGAGGTGGATGTGGATATGTCGCCGGATGACTCCACGCAGACCATGCGAAAAGGTAATGTATATATTTTTAGATTCTTAAAGTTTGAAAGACGAAATAACCACTGATCACTATTACTTTTCTATGACGTTTCTCCTTCATAGGTCAAGGTCAGCCCACTCCCAATAGCTCCCAGCAGAATCAGCTGGCACCGCAGCAGCGTCCACCGAGCAGCTGTCTCTCTTCCTCCTCGGCGGCCACCACGCTCTCCAATCGCACCTCTTACTGCAGCGTCGACGGCGGCAGCGCACGAAGCTTTTGCGACGAAGCTTTCTCAGCAACAGCGACGCCGGCGGCGGCGGCTAATGCTGGCCGATCTCCGGCAGCGGTTTCAGTTCAAAATTCAACTTCGCCGCGTCCACACGCTTCACTGTCGTCGCTCTGTACGGTGGAGAATTTCCGCGGTTCGGTTTCCTCGAACTCTTCGATCGCCTCACCCAAATCCTGCAAATCGGGCAGCAAAAGCGTTGGCAAATCGCGCGGTTTGAAATCGCCAAAATCACCGCTGAATCGTAAACAGCACACGCCCAACAAATGGGATGCCGTGATGAATAAAATTGCCAGCAACAAGTCCCTGATCAAGACCAACTACAACGATGTGAAGTCAAAGGTGTCCAGCACTCGGGTCATGTCACCGGGTTCGAGTTCGGTTTCCGCTTCGGCCTCGGGTTCGGGTTCGGGTTCCGTGTCCGTTTCCGTTTCCGCTTCCGTTTCGAGTTCGCGCGCCAGTCCTAGCAATGTGAGTGCCAGTGCCCGGCGTTCGCCTTCGGCCACGCCCAAAGTGCCGCCCAAAGTGCTCCTGGTCAAGCGATCGAGCAGCAGTAGCCCCTCAACCGCCAAGGCCGCCACCGCCACCGCCACGCCGCACTCGACCCCGCCAACGCGGCAGCCACTGGATAAAGGCTCTGTTGGCAGTGGGTCGCGTGCCGGCAAGTTGCCCAACTCACCCACCTCAACCACATCGCCGCCCGCCAAGAGACTGCAGTCGGCGACCCTCGCCAGTCGGTAAGTGATCACTGATCAGAAGCTATTGAATTTCAAAAAGAACAGAGATGAGTTATTACACATTTGATACAAGATTCCAAAACAAAGAAACTTCTATATATTTCGGACAAAATTCTAGTACAGATAAGAAACTGTATTATAATTATCAGTGGAAATATAATGTGTTTTCTTTGAGCTTCTGTACATATAGAAAGTCATAAAAAATCCATTTATTCCACTTAAAATCTGTAAAGTTTTAAGTGCGCTATTAATTTTTTTTCTACATTAATAGTCTTGTTTTTGTAAGACGTTGCACTATCTGTCTGAAAAAATGTAGAGTTACAGACATAAATATTTATTTTTGCTTTATATGCGTTTCAAAGAAAAATTGTTAAAATTATTTATGAGAGGCAGTTTTGTGAATTTTAGTTCTCGACTAGTTTTTGTATGGCTTTCAGCATTAAAAAACAAAATCAATATTGAATAGACAGACTAACAGAAATCTATAACTTAGTTTTCAAGGGAATATTGCTCTTAAGATGGTAACTAAGAACTAAAGTTTATAACGACTAGTTTTTTTACAGAAAAGAAATATTTTAACTAACTTTAGGGAAACAAAATTGCATAAAATATTAATTCTTAAACCAAAGAAACGATGAGACTGACTTAAGACCCTAAATGCTTTTTATATGACTTAGAAGTAAATTAAGAATAATATAAACATTTTAAAAACATTTTAATTTTCAAGCAGGGCATTCTTAAACTTTCAATAACCGAAAGTTTTACTTGTTGCCTTCAGCAGCATATCTTTTGCACACATTCTTATCGCGCCAGCAAAGTGAATACCTGACTTATCAGGCGCACCTTATCATTACCAGTTTCTTTTGATGGATTTCTTACGTTTGTTTTTGTGTGTTCCACTTTTGGTTCGCTTTTTCGATAGGGCAATCAAATGTTTGTTAGTGGCCATTCAGACATTCAGACAACCACAGGCCCGCACCTGCTTTGTGGAAATCTTAGGCACCTTTTAATGGGTTCAGGGGCAACCGGCCGAGTAGATAGCGATTGCCCCCAAGTCACTAAATAATTCATCAAGCATTTCGATTCGATTTGAAATTCAATGAAGAATGAGCGGGGAATAAATAAATAATTGTGGAAATAAAAGAAATGAGGCCTGCGTAAATGATGGGTAATTTTCCTTGGAACTTTTTCAAACAAAGGTGCAAATTTATTTGCTCTATCTAAATGTTCAGGGTCTTTGACGTCATGGTTTCCCCTTGTAAACAAATGTAGCACATTGACCCACCCAGAATTAGCTTAATTAGATGCTTAATTTTCCTGAATACTTGCGAGGGAATGCCTAAAACCTTAATAAACATTAACTAATTGCGATTGAGAGTAAGCGATTTATGGGGGAGAGAAGGCAGGTAGAGTCGCTAAACTACTAAATTTATTGGATCCGTGTCGTGTGTATTAAACATCATTTAACCATGGAAAAGGTGAATGCGAGAGACGTTGCGTGTGCTTTGATTTAATTTCAAGTTTAATTTTTGCCACAATCTATGCTCAATGATATAGATTACAATATATATATACATATTAATACTAATTACGCAGCATTTGTGCGCTGTTCTGTCATCGCTTGCGGTTATTTAAATAATAATTTGAGTTCTGTAGACACATACATATGAGCATTAAACAAATTAAAAACAAAGTCACACAAACAAATAAGCGGTGGAAAACGAAAATGAATACCTCTGAACTTCAGGCAGAAAAATTTTTCATTTAAATATATATATTATTTCCCTTTTCCCTGTTTTGTTACTTTTTTCGCAGTTCAGTTAACATGCAAAACATTTGCAATTACAAAATTTTCCGCAACCGAATAGCGGGGGAAAAAATCACAAACAAAAGCGCAACACAATGACTGTCAGAAATTAACAAACCAAAGGCAAACCAAAAGCTTGTCTCTGAAATTATCAACTTTTTTCCACTGTATTTTTATTTACATGACGAACGCCCATAAAAATTCATTAGATAAGAGAGATTTTCATCTCGACTTGGACACGATTCGGGGAATTACTTACTTGTATTTGCTAGTTACCTTTTTCTACCCAAGAGTTTTCTTCATTTTAAGCCGAAGCTTGATGATGTCTATCTATGATTTCAACAAGGCAAAGCCGCAAGGCATATTGTTGTTGTGTACTCGTAACAATATATATATATATATATATTTCTCATCTTCTGAGCCGGCAATAACAAACTGAGCAGTGTGAATGTATCTTGTAGTGTGTATTTTGTTCGGCTCTCGATACCGATGAGCGTGAGTGTGTGAAAAACGCCCAAGCTCAAGCTCAAAGCGAGTTAATTTGAGTCAACTGGCATGCAAATGAATATATATATACACGTTTGTGTGTCAGTATATCGAGGTGTGGAAGTATCTTTGGTTTTGTTTCAAATTGCTGCAGTTTAGCATGCAAAAATCGCTTGGGAATTACGTAAATTCATGAATTGTTTACACGTTATGAGAGAATTATGTGATATTGAGAATACTAATGGAGTTGATTTTAAAAGCGATTGGATTTTGCTTTAATTGTTTGAATGTGAGTTCAGTATTAGTCATTATACTGTTTGTTTTTTGACTAAATGAGATAATTGTCTGCGACGCATATCGAACTTCAAGAGCTTTTTTTAAGGTATAACTTTTAGGCATTAATTAAGAACTGTCTTTCTAAACTAGTTTTTCATTTTGTTTTTAAAATATTTTATATATTTAAAAGATAAACTAAAGCTTTCATTGGCTTAACACAACCTATATCATTATGAACAATGAGTTCGTGCCATAAACAAATTTCATCATCTATAGAGAAACGCTCCAAAACTCCAAAGATATCAAAATAAAAACCTTTTATTCACTCAAATTCAGTTGCAATCCATTTAGCATTCAAAATACTGACAATAACACCGAAAAACAAAATGAAATAAATAACTCAAGACCAGCAAAGCTATATTCAAGAGCTCTCTGTCTTGGGTGTCCATCGGTGAACACATGTTATCAGCCAGGGAGAACAACGTGTAACTTGTAGATAAACAAGCAAAAGCAAAAGCAAATAGCCAAAAGCCAACCAAAAAAAAAAAAAAATATATCATAAATTTCGACAAGGTCAACAGAAATACCAGCAATTAAGGGAAGCACACGAAAAAATTAAGGTCTTGGATCTAAAGAAACTTGAAATGCAAATATTGGTTTTACTTCTAGAAATAGACGGAGCATTTCCTCTGGAGTAGATTCGTATTTTTGGAGGTTTGTAGGGGGGTATAAAATAGGAGGGAAGTTGTACATTAGTCTGGTAAAAACAATTTCTGCCTGGTAAGCAGATTCATTAACACGTGCATGTGAAACTTATGATTTCTTATTTCTTAGTTGAAGTTTTTATGTTGGGGACTCTAATATATAGAAAATTAATAAATAACACAAAGAGAAACATTTAACTACAAAATATTTGGTGATTACTTACCTAATAGTGTTGCTTTTTTATCTAAATTGTTAAAGATATAAAACCGTTTAACCAATCTTGGATCAAAACACCACTTCAAAGCTCTTCATAACGATTTCCAAATTGGGTTATTGCATAAATTAAATCTCGTGTTGAACTGTCGTTAAAATACACAATTCAATTTCTCACCGTGCATTCATTAACATCCATCAGATACAACTGTCTATATTGTGTTTACGACTTTGACCTTTTGCAATGATATGGTAGTTTAACTCTAATGACGCCGCCGATTGCCTCTCCTCTCCCTCTCGCCATCTGATAAACAAAAAAGCCATAAATGTCATGGTGTTATTAATAAAAGTTGCCCATCACACTCAATTGGATTCACGCTATTGGCCGTTGATTGTCAGTGGCATGGAAAGCGCTAATAAAGTCGTTTCCATCTGGCAAGTGGATCCAGCCATTGGCACAGGCTCAACTTTAACTCCAAGCCATCATAAAATCAGACAGACAAACAGACAGTCGGACACAGAGACATTTAAAGAGCTTAAGCCTGGTGGCAAATATTGTGACAAGTGCCCTGGGGACTGTCAACACTCCAAACGCCCACAAAAATATATAAAAGCGCGCTGTTTTTAATTAAAAATGCAACCAGTTTGCTTTTTATAGCTTTTAACTATTCGGTTTATTTAATATTATGTAATATTTTTGCCGGCAACCGTAACAAGATACACAAAAAAGGCAAACTAGTTTGGCAAAGAGAAAAAAAAATGATGAAAAAAGAAAGAAAATGCCGGCAACAACTGACCCTTGCCTCTCTCGGTGGGCTCTTTCCACTTTTGTTTACCTTTTTAATAAACAATTTTTCAGTTTGCGTAGCTGGGCCATTCATAAATACTTAATGAAAATGCCAAATAAATGTTTATAAATATTAAATTAGCTGAAATGAAGATGCCTTTTTGGGCTTAAAAAACAAATGTGGTTATAAATATTTTGATACTCTTGAAAATCCAGTTTAAAATCGAATAAGCTCAATAATTTTGATACTTTCGGAAACCAGTATTTATTTTAAAGTCTGCGATTATTTTTATCGATTCAAAGAACAATTTTTATAGCAGCTAATTGCTCATTTTTTGATTCGAGAACGGAAGTTCGCCATCAAAATGAGAAAGACCTTTTAATCATAGAACAGAGAAACCAAGCGGAAATGGTAATAAAACTAGCCTAAAGTTTATATAAAAAAGCCACCAAATAGAGCATGAATTTTATTATTGGAATTTCAGTTTCCTTTTAAACCCAAAAATAACAAAAGCAAATTATTTGCACAGCATGGGATCAAACATTTGTGTATATTATTGAGCTAAAAGGTATGCATAAATGATGAGGAATTATTTACTGCGCTTGTGCACATAAACAAATAAAATTGTTTAAATATATAAAAATATGCTCAACAGAAAAATATACCCTTTTTTTCAGCACGGAAAACTTCTTACCCAAGGGAACAACAACACAAACCGTGTTAAA